AATATTGCCAGATTTGAACTTCAGGCCAAAATCACATATTCTCATGGTATAGACATTTTTATAAATTCCTATACATATTTCGGGACTTCAGCCCTTTACATAATTGTCCATATTTTTGAGGAACTTCTGGCATCTCGTTTAATTGCTCATCCATGAGTTTAAGGAATTGCAGGTTCCCTTTTGTATATAGTGACGGTTTACCAAAAATGGTTAATATTTATCCATACGTCACTATTCATGTATGCGGTACTATTCATCAGGTCATGAATACGTATTTATTCATGTGTATAGTACATTTGCCAGTACAGTTACTATTCATGTATACGGCACTATTAACCAATATGGTACTGTTACATTATCAAGGAACTCCAGGTCCTTATTTACATGTCAAGGATCAAGGATCTTCTAGTCCGATCTCTTGTTTACAAATACAGTACCGGAGAGTCTGCTAGCTCTCATATCATTATCATCATCAAGGATCTTTCAAGTCCTGATGTAGTTGTATGATGAGGATCAAGGAACTTCTGGTCCTGATCTCTGTATTCTGTAAAAACTCATCATACCACACAATTAATTCATAAAATAAATAACTTGTAAATAAATTACTGGTAAATAAATTGCTGATATGGACGATAAACCCGCACCATACTTTAAATAAATGTAAATGTGCGGTAAAGTAAATTCATAAATTAAATTGCTTGCTGTATGGACGTTAATCCCGCACCATACTTTAAATAATAAAGTAAATGTGCGGTAAAGTAAATTCATAAATTAAATTGCCTCATGTATGGACGTTAATCCCGCACCATACTTTAAATAATAAAGTAAATGTGCGGTAAAGTAAATGTGCTTGTATGGGCACTAATTCTACTCCATACTTTTAAATAAAAGTAAAGGAAATTGTGTGGACGATAAACCCGCGCCACACTTTTTAAATAAATACTGTTGTATGGGTAATAAACCTACACCATACAGTAAATGTGGGAATAAAACCACCACTTAAAAATATATGAGGTGTAACCGAATTACTATGTGTATGGATAAAGTAACGGCAATTATTTGTGGGTTCTTATCAACAATAGGATCAAATAATATATATGTTGTCAACTTGAATTGCCTCCCTCCCTTTTTTTTCGTTGGAATCTTATCAATCAGGATAAGATAATATAATATTATTATACTAATATATTAGTTTGAAAGCTAGATCAATCATGTTGGCTTTTCAACATAATATATTGAATCCATGCCACATGCTTTTCCATTGACACAACACATCTGGATGATGTTAAATAGTATGTAATAGTAATAAAATAATATAAGGGATAAGGAGGCAAATTGCTTATCCTTTTCGGTGGGTTCTCAACACCAAGGGGCAGAAGTTGAATCATGAAGAAGAGGTGAGCTTGATCCGGATCGTCCGTACGGAACCGACTCTCTCTGATATTCTGGAAGAAGTAGCCCTCGCTGGCGTACTTGCCAGTGAGCTTCCTGGGCGTCTGGTAATACGTCTTTGGATCGCCGTCGGGGTATATATAGACCTTGAATTTGGCTTCCATCTCGGCGAAATTCAACCGAAACACCTCCGGCGAGTGGTAGATATCGGAAAACTGCTCATTTGTATCGGCCGAGATGTGAATGGTGGGGGAGGAGGAGAAATGGACGGAATTGAGAGAGAAGTAGGTGAAGGAAAGCAAGGTGAAGATGGCGAGAGTCAATAGCGATCCCTGTAAAGAGAACAACATCGGAGAAGACGACTGTGAGTGCGGTTGCGATTGCTTGCCCAAACTCATTTGCTCTCTCTCCACTCTCAAGCGGGAACAAGAAGCTCAGCTAAGCCAACGCTTGCCTTCGCTGCTGCTTCGATTTGGACTTTGGAGATTGATTTTTACTTTTCTTCCTTTTTGAGTAAAATCAATCAAGATTTGATTGTCAAGTGAGTCCAACCAAATTGAAGTTATAAATATAAAAAAATTGGAAAAACTTTTGCTTGTTTTTTTGCTTTTTTATGGGGAATTAGAAAAAGAAATGGTTGGACCCAAATTTTAAATTAAAAAAAAGCTGAAAAAGGGAAATTAGAAAATCTTTTTTTCTCTGTTTTTTTTTGTTGGGGAAAGTAAGAAATACTCTTTAGTAAATTGGTGGTTTAGGCAACACTAGTACTCAATTTAGGGCCCACTCATTCTCAATTTGAGTTTGGTAATTTTTTGGCAAAACAAAAGTTTTGGTGTTTGCATCTTTTGGGGTTGTAAAATTGCATGATTCACTTTTTGGTACTGGTTACTCTTGTGATAAGCTTTTTGATGCGTTTTGTTAACAAAAAAAAAAAGAAGTGAATCATAGTGGAAAATGTGTCTACCATTCTGAAAATCTACCAAGGGAAGTTAAATTAATTTTTAAAACACATCTAAGTGGCGTTTGGTCTGTGAGAGAAGGTGCAAATTTAGGGTTATGACGTATTCGGTGAGGGAGTATTTTTGCTCACCACGTTCACCCAAAGTGTACCATTACCACATTTCTCAACACTTTACACATGTTTATGGACATAAACCATAGTTCTACAAATATAAAGCAAATAGTTAACTATAGTATGCCTATGAACACTTGTTGTGTTGAGAAGGTTAGTGAAAGTACACATTGATTAAAGTGATGAGCACAAATATTTTCATGGAGAATATGTGCTCTTTTTCTTGGTCCATTATGTTGATAAAATATAGTATAAATATTCATATTTATAATTGAGTTGGGTCAAGACCCAATCAGAAAACATCAAGTTTGGTTGGAGCCTGAAAAGGCAATCCAAGATGGAAAGAACCAGGTTCCAATTTGTCATGTTGAATGGACCATGCAACTATGCAACCCATTATAAAGTGATTCATTTATGTTATTGGCTTGTTGGCCTATGGCTTGAAATTATTAGTTATGTTATATACACCCGAAAGCATGATCACCACACCCAGTAGATGGAGGTCTAAAACCCTCCTAATCTCTGAATACATATGACCCCTTCAGAATAAGAAACCACACAGTTTTGAAAGGGAGACTTGCACAGATATTGACCATCCCAAAGTGTAAAGAATCACATTAAAGATTTATGGTTTTTAGGCTGCAACACATACAAGAAAATCCCACCTGCAACTGAAACATTGAGTGACTCAAACTCTCCTGCCATTGGAATGCTTACAAGCTCACATAGCCGTCGAGATTTCTCAGACAGCCCACTTCCTTCACTGCCCAAAACCAAGCTCAGCGGCACATCTACAAAAGAATCTGCAAGCTTTTGAGAGAGGTGAGACACTGGCTTCAGTTTTTCATCGGTCCCTGGATGGCCAGCCAGCATCTTTATTTGGAATTCATTTTGCAGGGATTCAAGATGATTCCAGGTACCAGAAACAATAGGGAGCTGAAATGAGGCTCCTCGGCTAGCTCTAAGTGCCTTCTCATTGAATGGATCACAGCATCCAGGAAGAAGAAAAGCACCATTCTGTTGAATATTAGACATCTTTTAAAACATAAATTAAGACAAAGTGATCAAAGTACACAAGAAAGTGCAATAGATGCATTTTAAGATAGCATCATAAAAAGGGAACAACAAGGAGTATGCATGATTCATCCTTGCTCCAACTGTTTATTCAATGGATCTAGTTAAAATATGACGTCGGATTAAGATAACAGGCACATAAGCATTAAAGCATATACATATGAGAGGTTGGGAAAAGCAAGAACATAGCATCTCAAAATAAAAGAATAAATAAAAACTTTAAAAATAAAACAACCAATAAATAAACAGGAAAGAAGAGAGAATGAAATCAAATGCCTTACCCATCCAAAAGCCATAGCTGATCTGAGCAGCGTACCAAGGTTACCCGGATCCTGCAGTGAATGATTTTTTATTGATCACTGATACAATTGCCCATAAAGTTAATGAAATCAAATGCCTGAAATTACAACCAGTAGATTAAACAGCATCTCAGAACTAAGACATCACATTTACATTTTCTTTTAAAGAAAAAATCAAGCAGCACGGGAAATTTTTTTTTACCACAATCTCAGCAATTAATATATAAAGTACAGAGATGAGAGAAACTTAAAATGAAATTCATTCTTCCTCGCAACAATTAGATCGAAGAGATATAGTTTGCTGCAAAAATACAAGCACATATTTTATTTATGATAGAAAGAAATATCAAGTGATTGAGTTGCAGAATTTGTGACAAGAAAAAAGCTGTATCAGAAGAATGGCCATTACCAAATGCTTGGATAAAGCCGAATAGAAATGTGGCGCTGGGCTTTAATTTGTAGAACAAGAACATAAGGAAACCACAGAATATGCCAAACCAATCAGGGAAATTCCACCCAAAGACCAAACAATTACAGCCCAATATTTAACTTTTAGCTGACAATTACAAGTTTTCAGAGAAAAACGATGCTGAATTTGTCTCGAAATTTCATTTTTGGGCACAGGGAAAACTTTCGCAAAATGCCATTGTTTCTGACAGTTTGCTTCAACACTAGGAAAGCTTTACATGGCAGAAGACTAAATCAGTATCCACACAGCCAAGAGGCGCATGATGCCATCTTTAAAATCAAAGGTGCAAGATTAAAATAGTTGAAAAATTGACAGAACCTAATGTTAGGTCACTGAAAGAGTCACCTGGACGCCATCAAGGACTAGAACTCGATGGAGTGAGGGAAACCATGTCTTACAGTTTACCTCCTTTTCTTCAGAATCTATATCTGAAAAACTGGTAGGCATTCTCATTAGGGCAATTGCTTCAATAGATTCAGTTGATTGCATCCCCGAAAGTTTTTTCATCACAACAGAGCTCACTTCCACAATACGAACAGAGAAATCATCAATCCACTCAGGGACCTCAGCTTTTTCAAGTAGAAGCAAGCAATCTATTATAACAGTTTTCTCTTGCGATGACCTCTGGAACCTGTATATTTCCCTGAAAATGAAAACTTCGTCATACATAGCACCAGGTTTTATTATGTTTAGGAAAAACAAAATCAAAATCAAATGCGAGGAACACAGTTAGACGGCAATACAGTAGCAGTAACACAAAAAAAGGACAGAACTATAGAACATTAAAATTAAACCTTCCCTCCAGTTCCATATGCAATGAATAAAGATTTCAGCATTGGAATTTTATCTTCTTCATCTTTCTCCAATATCTCAGCAATCAAACAGGATAAGAAAAATAGCAAAAACCCATCTGAGTTTTGTGCAAGTAAACTAATTATTACAAAGAACCCATATAAATTCAAGTGGAAAAGAGAAGGATAAAGATGAAACCTGATAGGAGTAGCACCCACAACGAGAGCTGAACGATGACTGTGGCGATAAGATGAACTCTGGCGAAGCTTGTGGCAGTGTTTCACGAATGGGTTAGAGGTGCTCGTTATGGAGTTGACATGGGAAGGCAGAGGAAGCTTTACATCATAGTCTTCAAAGTTGCTCTGCCTCTGGGTACGGATTTGGCTTGGACCAACTGATAACTCTGAGTGCAAGTCCCAAACTTTGAGCTTTCTGGGGTGAATGGTTGACACTGAGATGATGTTAGAGCATTGCATTTTTTTCTCCTTGCAAGTTTACTCACTTAAAAAATTCCTTTCGAATTCAGCTGAAGATTTCTTTTGGGCTAGGGTGGTAGAGGCCGGGTCTCTTTATGTTTTTGAAGAAGTGTTCTACAAAAGACAGTATTTTGAACTTCTATAAACGAGGGGGTTTTCTTTTTTTTTTTTAATCCTGTGAAGAAATCTACAATTAAACTTCAAAAAAAATGAGTTTCATAATTTTTGAAAAAAATATATATTCAAAGGTTCATAAACTTTTGAGGACGATTGGCGGCTAATTTTGTGAACAAGGTGGAACATGTTGTTATTTATTTATTTATTTCAATTTAAACAAATTATAAATGTATTTTATTTTAGAGTTTTTCTATTTAAACCCCGCACTTTTCTTTGTTTACCCCAATATTTAAATCATTAAGCTCTTAAGTTTTGTTATTGTGTAAAAAGACAAAAAAAAGTCATCAAACTTAATACTTAACCCTAGTACACACACCCCATCATTCTTCATATTAAGTTTCTTCCCCCATCTTTTAGAGCTCTTCCAACAGGCAAATCCTTGCCCAGGCAAGGGGGCCCCTAGGCCCAAAAAGTGTTTCCAGTGGGAAAATACAGCCAGGGCAATTGGTGGGCTCCACAAGCCTGGGCTGGCCCAAAGACAAGAATAGCTTGAGCTGTTGCCTGGATTTGTTGACGTTAGCAACAAAAAAAAAAAAAATTTAAAACATCTAAAAAAAATACTAGAATTTTCAAAAAAAATTTAAATAAATACTTATTCATATTTTTCACTTCCCATACCAAAACTCTATACAAATTCCTCTCCTTTATATCTCATGTGAATAGTAGTTGTCATGGCAGTGGGTGGAAACATCACAAGCCTTTTGCAAGGGCTGTCACTATTCACATAAATAGTAACAGCCCTTGCCTTGCCCATGCCCTTTGCCATGGCAAATGGGTGGAAGTGCTCTTACTCGACTTTCTCTTCCCATCACTATTGTCAGTGTCACTATCGCTATCAGCATCAACTTTTGCCTTGGTAGTAGATTCTAGTTTCTGCTCCCATTTCAAAGGGGCTTCTTTCTGCTGTTAGGTATGAGGTTGATGAGTTTTTTAATTATTATTTTTTTGCTAGGTGTGTATTTAGGGGTAATTTAGGAAGATAGTGGGATTTTCTTAGAAATTGTGAAATTTTGAATTAGAAATTAGGGTGAACTTAGAATTTGGGGTGAACAAAGAGAAGTGCAGGGTTTAAATAGAAAAACTCTTATTTTATTCTGGGAGACGTTAGAGCATCTCCACTTCAATGGGGAGATGTAAATTCGAGGGTGTAGAGTCAGATGTACATCCTTTTTACACCAGTATATAAATGTGGTTTTTAGTCCAATATGGGAGATGCAATCCAAAGATGTAAATTTGATTCTCTGATATTACTTGGTTTTTTGTGTTAACTTTTAAATGTGGCAATACATTTGTTCTTAAGCCATGTAAAAATAATCCAAGTGACATTTTAAACACGGAAAACAAAGAGAAATATAGAGAGAATAGATAAGGAAATAAAAAGGAAGAAAACTGGAGCAGAAAAAGAAGAAAAAAACAAGAAGAAGAGAGAGAGAGAGAGAGAGAGAGGATAAACGCAAGAAAAAAAGAAAGGAAACAAAGAGAGAAAAGGGAAGAAAATGAAAAAAATGAAAAAGAAAGAGATTAGAGAGTTTGTTTGAATTAATAATTAAAGGGTATTTTAGGAATAATGGTGGGTGGAAAGATAGGTTTGTGTTTTTTCAAATTTACACGGTGGGTGAGAAGATAAGGTGGGTGGGGAAATAGGACAGGAGGTGGAAATAGTAACACTCTTATTTTATTTTTCCAAACAAATATACCTTAAGTATTTTATTTTTGAAATTTTGAATGTTTCACTTTTAAAGGATTATGACTTTCTAATCGATGGTTATGTGACGGATCTTAGAGCACTTCCATCAGTAGGCCCAGCCTAGGCAAAAGGCCCTCTAGGCTTCCAAAAGTGGCCCTGGCAAGATATGGGGTCCACCAAGCCCGAGCAAGGACCAAGGCAAGATCAGCCTGAGCTCTTGACCTTGGGCGATGACATCAGCGAACAAAAGTAATTTTTTTTTAACGTTGACGAGTGACGTACACATAGCGTGATTGTGTCACGCCTGCCAACGGTAAAAAAAATTTGAATTTTTTTTTGCTAATGCCAGCCTGGTGTCAGCGCCTGCTTTCCTCTACCTGCTAGAAGCCACATAGCATGACCTAGGGCTTCCGATCAATTTTTTTCCTCTATCCAACGAAGAAAAAGAAATTGGAAAAAAAAAAACAAAAACAAAAATATTATGGAATTTTTTTTCCATAAGTACCTACCAATATTATTCACTTTCCACACCAAATCTTCATAAAAATTCTTCTCCTACCTTTATTTTCTACTACTAAATTCCATTTGTGTAAAAATACAAATGGTCCCTTCCATCAAAGCCAAAGGCGTGTGGACAACCATGAAAGATAATTTGTTTTGTGAGTGTTGAGTCCAAATTGGTCATTGCCCGATCACGGGCAATGAGATGAAGTTCTCTCATACGTGGTGGAAAATTCATGAAGTTTTCTCTTATCCGAAAATTTTATTCGAAATATAAGATGTGAATTTTATAATTAATATATATAGACACGTGGCAACCGAAAATCTTATAAAAAAGTATAAATAAAATTAATCTCATCTGAATAGTGATTGCCCTTGGGTTGACATGATAATGGATGAAAAAGCATTAAAAAAAAATTGTCATGGCAGGCACTATTTACATGAATAGTAACAGCCCTTGCTTGCCTTTACCCTTTGCCATGACAAATGAGTGAAAGTGCTTTTAATGAGGCCAGTAAGATCTTGAACCCTCTTTTTTTTTCACTCTTAAAAGGTCTTTTTTTTTTTGGTCGAACCTGGTAAATAAGATGTGAGTGAAGTCAGTGATGCTACTCGCTTCTAAAGCATCTCTTTTCTTCTCCAGCACTCTACCTTTTTTTCTTGGCCAGTGCCTGTACTCTCACTTCAAGAAAGAGGACAAGAGTGAAAGAATATAGAAGAGAAACTGCTTAGACAAAAAAGCAAAACTTATTTTGCATTATAGTGGGATTATAGTCTAACGATTCCTAAAAAGTAAAACAATAAATAGCACTAGGTTCTATCCTATATCCTCTGAGATGCCGGTAAAGTTAGTGATGCTCCTTGACTGGGAAATTCATCCATCGAAACCATCGAGTTTTGAGGGAACATCCTCTGAGGTGCACCCGGAATATATAATCTCTCAGATGTTGGTGACATACCAGGATTTCTCTGAACCAATGGAGACATATATAATCTTTCCGAGGTGGAAGGAACAGCATCGGCATGTTGAGAGGCCACAGCCAAGTTGTCATTCCTTTGAGATGCTGTGGACATGTATATCCTCTCCGAAGTTGGATGTAGAGTAATATCAGTTCTCTGAGATGTTGAACCCATGTGGTCATGCCGATGAGATGTTTCAGGCATGTATAGCCTCTCAGATGTTGAAAACATGGTGGTGTCATTCCTTTGAAATGTTTGGCCCATACTGTCATTCAGGTGAGCTCCTGCCAGCATGTATATCCTCTCCGAAGCTGGATGTAGTGTTGAATCCATTCTTTGAGATGTTGCACTTATCCCGTCATTTCTGTGCGATATCGGAACCATGTTGTCATGAGAGGCAGGCACATATACCCTCCCAGAAGTCAATGCCATAGAATTATCAGTCCTTTGAGATGTCAGTGCCTTGTTGCCATTCCTCTGAGATGTAGGCACATGATTCCTCTCAGAACTTGGAATATTTTGAGTCCTTTGTGATGCTGGTATTGAGGTTTCCATCCAATGAGACGTTTGAGGCATATTCTCAGTCCTTCTAGGTGTTAGTCTTGACGCTTCCATCCAACAAGATGTTTGAGGCATATACATCCTCTCTGAGCTCTGGGTCGGTCTCATTGACACACCTTGACTTGGTATATCTCTTTCTGGTTCTGGATGTGTAGCTAGCGAGATCTCTGCACTGGATAGATCTCTCTCAGATGTTGCTGGCCTGACAAGGGGCACTCCTTGACTAGACAAATTCCTATAAGCAGTTGGAGACACGGATAAGACTCCTGGGTTTGGTAGATCTGCCTCAGACGTGGGAGTGATGGACAGTGGAGCTCCATGGCTTGGTGAATCACTCTCAGATTCTGGGTGCATGTCTGGTGACACTCTCTGGCTAGGTGAATCTCTCTCAGATGTTGAAGGCAAAGCTGAAGACACACCTCTACCGGTCAGATCTGTCTCAGATGATGGAGGCAGGGGTAGCGACACTTCTAAGCTAGGTAAATCCTTCCACTGCTGTGCAACCGTCTTGATCTGGGTGTAAAATTGCACACCTGCCTTACCTACAATTTTGAATGGTAACTGCAGTTATGGAAAAGGTTCAACCATCCTCAACCTGTGTGTGTATGAGAGAGAGAGAGAGAGAGAGAGAGAAGTTATACCACAAAAATTGAGATCACTACCAAAAGATGCCTTAGATCCATCAAATGAAGAAAATGGCAATGGAATTGGAACAGGGACATTGATTCCAACCTGAGATATGTCAAATCCGTGTCAATTAGTAATATGCAAGTGACACCATAAATTAGAGAATGTCTACCAGGTGAGAGCATTCTCTTTGGCTATCAAGCTTTCTCTAATTCCAGTGAAGATTCCATGAAATTACTAAAAGAAACATATTTATTCAACCAGCATACTTTCAGTTCAAACTTCTCATCCCCCTCCTGGAGCCAACATGGTTCCCTATACTTCTATTAATATGTATGAAAACCCCGCATGTATGCTGGCATAAAAAATTGTAACATCTAGCCCACAGAGAACTGTAGGAGGGGCGTCATGAAGCATCACCCCATAAGTTCTCATAACCTACATGATAGAAGAAAGAGTTGGCTTACCAGCCCTGCCTCTACTTCATTCTGGAACTTCCTTGCAGCAATGCTGGATGTTGTGAATATGGAAGCTCCATTACCATACCTAAGGAATCGTAAGACAATATATAAAACTGATAATTGTGTGCTTATATTTCAAAAGAAACACCTGTTTCAAGAAATTGCAATTGATGCCAGAATTTTGAGAAGAAAAAAAAATTGAAAACATTATATTAAAAAATAATAATAAATAAATAAAAACAAGAAGGAACTATGTTTCTCATAAGTTGCATCCATAAACAAATAATGAGAGTCTTCATTTCACGACTTTAATGGATCTTGGAAACAAAAGAAAGCAGGAGAGCGAGTACCTGTTTCTGTTTATAATTGATATGGCCTCTTCTAGGCTGGCAGCCTGTTGGTCATCAAAAACAGAAAGTTTCGTAACCAATCTACAACTTGTAGCAAACTCTCACACAAATATGAGAGAGAGAGAGAGAGAGAGAGAGAGAGAGAGAGAATACCTGCATGCAAAGAAGAACTGGTCCAAAAATTTCTTCCTGCCCAACACAAGATATAATGCTGTCAAGAATATGCCAATGTCTTTGGTTTCAACTCTTCTTCCACTGAGAATCATAATTAACCAAGTCCATTTATTCTGAAGACATAGAAGAACTGGGAACATGAAAAGATTACCTTAAAGCAATCCATGTTGGTTGTAACATCACATAAGATTGTAGGACCTATAAAATTTCCATTCTCATATCCTGGAACCTACAAAGTCGTGTTTGAAAAATTCAGAGAAAGTTTCTAGAAAGCAAGCTCCTTAGTTATACACATGCTCAGCATGTGACATATAGAACACTACATGCTCCATTGTTACCATGAGATCGGTGATAAAATGATACTTTATCAGCAAAAGATAAAATAAGATACATATTAACAGAAAAGAATATAAGAATATGGAAAGAAAGCAGAAAACTGCTAACGGAGAAGCCATGCTACAAAAAAGGAAGGAAAGTAGTCTGTTAAGTACATCAACAATCAGCAACGTTGTGACTAAAACATAGAGTGCATGAAACCAACTTCTGTAAATGTATAGAAACTCAAGGTGAAAATTCACACAGTTTTTCCTTTTGTTCATCCTTTGGTTGATTGCATGCATATTACAGCAAAACTATGCATGAATCATGATTTGCTCATAAAATGGAACAAATTAATGTATTTTATCACCAGCGCCTTAAAAAACAAAAATATATGTTCTTATATTTCTCTTAATTTGATCAGTAAAATTATTAAAAGCCACCACGGTGGTGCAACCAAACTACACAAGCATACAAGAAATAACCACCCAAAGCCAAAAATTCTAAAATCAGGATAGAAGAAAATAGGTGAGGATAGAATATGCCATCCATGGTCACGTCAAGAGAAATTACCCAAGTCAAATTCCATAAACAGTGCAGCCAAAAGAAAATTTCAAAAAACACCTCCCAGAGTTTTGGTAATATACTGAAATTAACATCTTTTTCAATTTGTGTTTATGCATGTGCACACGTGTAAAGCATTTGTTCATAGCAAGAATTGATTTATCTCATCTTATCTGAGATCAAATATGTACCCTAACATTTCTCCCATCAAGCAGAAGTCTAGCACCACTTTCAACACTGCTCTGAACTAATCTGCAAATGCGATCCTTCACCTGTGAATTTAGAAACCTTGTAAAAAATTTAATATAAAAAAACTGCATTAAGCATATCATCTATATAGGTACAACATGCTTCCATGAGAAATTTGAAGGATCTTTTAGTAGGAAACTTAATTTATAGATAAAAGAACATAATTACAAAAAGATAGGACATGTGTTCCACCTATTGCAACAACAACAAAAAGGCACAAAACAAGCAAAGTCACACTCAATACAAAACCCGAGCCCAATCAAGGTGAACTACACTAAACGGAACATCTCTAAAGTGCTTAGACAAAGGTTATCTCATCTTATCTGAGATCAAATATGTACCCTAACATTTCTCCCATCAAGCAGAAGTCTAGCACCACTTTCAACACTGCTCTGAACTAATCTGCAAATGCAATCCTTCACCTGTGAATTTAGAAACCTTGTAAAAAATTTAATATAAAAAAACTGCATTAAGCATATCATCTATATAGGTACAACATGCTTCCATGAGAAATTTGAAGGATCTTTTAGT